CCTGATACTTTTTCAAAAATTTCGTATTTTCAAATTTCAGTGAATACCTGCTCGATTTTCATGCTTCCTTGATACTTTTCTAAAAATTTCGAATTTTCAAATTTGAGTGAATACCTCCTCGATTTTCATGCTCTCCTAATACATTTTTGAAAATTTCAAATTTTTCAATTCCAACGAATACCTCCTCGATTTTCATGCTCCCCTTATACTTTTTCAAAAATTTCGAATTTTCAAATTTCAGTGAATACCTCTCCGATTTTCATGCTCCGCTGATACTTTTTTGACAGTTTCGAATTTTTAAATTTCAGTGAATACCTCCTCTATTTTCATGCTCCCCTGATACTTTTTCAAAAATTTCGAATCTCCCAATTTCAGTGAATACCTCCTCGATTTATGAATTGAATCTAATTGAAGAAAAAAAAATTATGGGGAATTTTTTTAAAGAGTTTAGATGCCAAATGAGATGCCAAGAAAATTGTGAAAAGAATAAATAGTGAACTGACGTTTTTCAAATTTTCAATTTATTTTACAGAAAATTTCAATTATCGACTTGCCGTGGTGGAAAAAAAATTCCCGCTGTTTCCATTTGAAACTATTGGGCAATATCTCATTGCCTCGATATGTCGCTGCATGCATATGCCGCCGAAAAATCTGTAAATAAAAAATGACGAAAATGACGTACTGGTGGTCAGCTGTGTTTGACATATTTACAATCGAAAACAAATAATCAGTCATCATTACATATAATAATGATGTTAAACATCAAGCAAAATGTGATAAACGACACATTTTGATGAGCACGAGATGTATAATTTGATAAATAAAAAGCCATTTATCACGGAGATATTTTTTGAGGCTAGCATTTTTCAATGAAAGAATATATACAAACATGGACTTTCTTCAGTCGGAATTACATATTCCCCGTAAATATCTATTAACAATTGATGGTAGAATTCACGCAACTGTTCACAAGAATTGGTTATTGAGTTTACAAAATATAGGACGAATTGATTTTAATCTTCACGAGCGATTGTCAGCCGATGAAATAGTAGTACAACCCTCTCCAGATGAATTAGGAGCAAATTGGACGAGAATTTATATAAAGGTGAATACGTCGTTGCTTTTTTTGGAATAATTAATTTTATTATTTCATTCTTCTTCTAATTTCAAATAATAGGTATATCTCTTTTCTTTTTCTATTTTCAGGTTTATGAGAAGCAGTTCAGGAGTACAATTCCACTACCAAGAGACAAACATTCCATTAGTTCGAAAGTCCATTCGGACTTGACTTTTGCTCAGCTTCTCCGTTATGTTTCCGAGACGAATTACAGGAATTTGTGGAAAGAAGCCTACAAGAAATATTACAGTGAGTCAATTAGAACAACATGAAATATTTATCCTCGACATAATATTTTCAATAAATATCTATTTTCTCATTTTTCCAAATGTAAAAAGTGGCGGGATAGTCTGAATACGTTTTTTTTAGGTATATGGAATCTTCCAGAAACGAAAGAGCAACTCCTCCTGACCCCCAGCAGCAGTGACGTATCCGTAATGCATGAAGTATTAGCAAGATTATACGGATGTCCTCTGGTTCACATTCAGAACAGCCACGTGATTTCCATATCCCCGAGTACAAACACCCGTCCACACTGCAACCTCCTGCCAGCAATTTTAGCAATTGAAACACCATCGGCCTTCATAACACTCCACGAACAGACTGCCAAATATTCTCTACAAGAGTGCAATATGTACAGTCCAGCAGCATTGTCAATAGGTTACAGCAAGCCCTTATTCATCGTCTATCAGCTGCTACGTCTGTCCAGAAACCTCCACGACTCGGGTTTAGCACTTGGAGAAATCACTCTCAGTGATATTTTGCTATTGGAGAATTACACAATTTTAGTTCTTCCAAAATTGGACGATAATATTTACGTGAGAGGCGTCGATCATTTTGAAATTTCAGAAATTCAAGAGAAATCTGTTCATTCAAAGAATAAAATTTCACAATCGCTGAGAATGAGATTTTCATCGAAAGGCCCAGATTTTGGATTGAATGAGAACCTGGAAGAATTGTGTGAAATGTGGATTCATGGACAGCTGAGTAATTTCGATTATTTAACTGCTCTAAATAATCTAGCTGGACGGAGATTTGGAGATCCATGTTGTCATCACGTGATGCCTTGGGTAACGGATTTTACTTCAAGATCTGGGAAAAATTGGAGGGATTTGACAAAATCAAAATTTCGCCTCAACAAAGGGGACAGGCAGTTGGATCTCACCTTTGACGCACAGACCTCGGAGTTTGGACATCACGTCTCTGATGTTCTATCAGAAATAACTTATTATGTGTATTTATCGAGGAGATATAATCGAACTGTCCTGTGTAAGCATGTGAGATCACATTGGGTACCTTGGGAGTATCCTGCATCGATTCAGAGGCTGCAGGAGTGGAGTCCCGATGAATGTATACCACAATTTTTCATGAGTCCAGATGTTTTCAAGTCAATTCACGAAGACCTACCAGACCTAGAGCTGCCAAGTTGGGCCCGATCACCAGAAGATTTCATCGAGAAACACCGAGAGGCTCTAGAGAGCCACTACGTATCAGAGCGTCTCCATCACTGGATTGATTTAACATTTGGCTACAAACTGTCGGGCATCGCTGCGATAAAAGCCAAAAACGTATGTCTACAGCTAGTGGACAATCACACGAGTCTAACGAATTCCGGAGTGGTACAATTATTCACACAGCCGCATCCACAGAAAATCATTCCATCACCGTATTGGTGTAAATCAGCTCCTCGATTACGAATTACAAATGCGAGAGCGTCAACAAAGACTGATCGATCGGACCAAAAGAGTGAGGACGAAGGCCACAGTTCCGGCTTCGAAGAGGACGATCCCCCTCCTACCACCCAAAACATCGCTCGTTCCTCCCCTCTCGCCCTGAGTCGTCTTTTGAGTCGTTCACGGGGTTCCCTCTTGGCCCCGGACGATTCCTCCCGTCCTGACAAGCCCGTCCAAACAATCCAACTTCCCAAGGACTACAATCCCATTTCTGCACTCCTCCAAGTGGAGTGCACCCACTCCTTTATAAACAAAATCTCCCACCGCCCTTATCACCCGAGAACTTCTTCTCAGCACAATCCCTCAAATTATCGCCAAGTGGTAGCCTGTGCACGTATAAAAGAACAGCAAATCCTTGGGTGTCTCATTGTCGAGATCTTCCTCCCCACAAAATTCCGAGCGACTTGGAACACAGGAAAGTCATCGTTCACCCATCGCCTAGAAACTTGCATGAATATTTTACTCCAATCTCCAGATATTCTCCCGAAGTGCGTGAGAAATGCAGTGGGACTTCTCCTCCAAGTGGAAGTCACTCCAAAGACCTATGGAGTCAACTCCATTGACCCCACAGAACCCCTCGAAACCACCCTTTTCCGGTATCCCACAGTGACCCACATGGGTCTTCCACCACCTTCAGCTCATCAATTTCTCCAGCCAATACTCTCCAGTAGTTTATTTCCTTCTTCAAAATACTTCCAGCACCTCTTCAACGTCATAGAAATGCTGCAAGAGTACGAGAGCATCGTACGAGATCTCAACGCCTTTTTCAAAGACGATGAAATTGTTGAATTCAATTCCTTTAATACTCGAACGAAAATTCAATTTCTGTGCAAGATAAGCGAGTGCAAAGTTAAAGCTGTTGCTAGAGAATTGGAAAAACTTCTCATTTTCGCTGGCAATTCCATGGAGTCGAGTCTACAACTCATTGTTCCTCATGTTAAACAAATAATGGAAGAACCTTACAGTGCAGTCCTTGCGGCATGGTACCTCTTCGACCCAATTGCCAGGTCCTTAGGACCCAAAGAAACATCAGAGATATTTTTAATTCCAATAGTGAGGCTTTATGAGAACGGTTCTGTGATGGACAGCATGACATGCCTGGATTGTCTGCCCCTGAATACATTCGCCAAGTTTAAAACGATGCGACTGTACCACAGGAGCTTTCTATTGAAGCTGATGGTACGTCTGGGGCTCAGAAGATTCTTGGATCACTTCATAACTCCACTTGTCGAGGCCGTCGGATGCTATCGGGATGCGCCTCAGGGTCCCTCAAGCCCTAATTGCAGAAGAACTGGAAACTTGAAAACCTGTGACCTCAGCGATGGAGCTGGAGACATTGACGCTGTCTTGTCGCCTCTGGACGAGGACTCCTCCATTGATTCCGAAAACAATCAGACATCGATAATTATTTCTGTACCTGAAGCAGACAAACCAAATGATACAGAAATTGAGGTGTTCTCCATGGAGACCGAAGATGCTTTATCGCCTATTGAGTGCTCCAAATCTCAAGATATTCAGCTCGAGTTCAATCTCAATCTTATTGATGACTTGGTTGAGGATGGATCGAGACTCTCACCATCTGGGGCTGTCAGATCTCCAACTATTCCGATTCCTAAGGCAGACGCACGAAGTGCTAAATCGGTGATTGAATTCAATAGCATTGGGTGTCATGTAGGAAGTAAAACATCAAGCGAGGACATGCCTCTAGCTGGATCGTACACTGGAAATCCTGCTGGTACCTCCAGTGCATTAGAAAACCCATCGATTATTCTCGATTCCGACATCAAGAAGAGGATATTCCTGGATATATCTGGGGATTCCCCGGAAGATGAGATCGACTCGTCGACTAGAAAAACCGAGAGAACTCCAATCCAAGAATCAAAAGTATCAGACATGAGCGCAGAGTCTGTGATCTGGTTATCACATCGACTCGGCCCAGTTCTGACCGCTCGTTTTCTATCTCGGAATCTCTTGAGGATGCTCTCATTATGCTACGCAGGACGAGCAAATTTATTGAATATTGACGATGATTCGGATCAATTGGTCGGAGATGTCAATGCCTCCAAGGTTTTGGAGTCATTGGCGGCGATAGCGAGTCTTTACGGAGAACAGATGATCTTAGTTCAATATTTCGGCCATATGGCAGAGCTCTTGACTCTCTGCAAACGAAAGTTAACGCCAAATCTCGAAGGAGGTCTTGTCTCCTGTTTAGCATTATTAAGTCATATCACTTCATATCTATCTGATGTCGCGTTGATGGACGCCCTAAACGAAACAATCGTCAGATCAATCCTGCATCCAACTGTGAGAATTCTCTCTACTACCAGGTATACGTATCCCTCTGGAGCAATCGCGAGACAAGCACTAGCGGATAAACTCCTGGAGGCAATGTCGAATTTAAGTATTCGAATTGGAAGTACTGCGACCAAATGCCACTTATCTGTACCAATTCAAAGGTTCTTTCTAGCTTTTGATAAAGTATTTTGTGATTCGTTGGACGTGCATGGAGACAAGAAAAGAGGAGATGGAAGACTCAATTATTCATCCAGAAGTGAAGGAGATGTCGAGGATAACAGGAAGAATGAAGGGCTTGATTGGTCACTAGTGGATTCTTCTACTTGTCAAAACTTTGGATCCTCTGATGTTGCAATTTCATATTCACCCCCAGTTATCGATCACGATGGCTCCAACTTGCAGAGAAATCGAGCTCATGATGAACTTAAACAAGTCTTCACAACGGAATTCGCTCATCGTTCATATCTTCTTTTTTACAAATGTGTGGATGACGGAGTGATGACTGAAATATTGAAGAACCATCAGTTGATTCGAGACTTGTGCACTGAATACGGAGGAACAGTCGGCCACGTAGATCAGGGTATGATTAGATCAGAAACCTCTTGCACATTGACTGATGACCGACTGGACGATCGAGACATCATCACAAAGGGCGCCGGAAGTTTTGGTAATATGTCCGTGATAGGAAATAGGATCGAAGTTGGTGAAAATATTGAAGCCTCACCGCCTCGTGAAATGAATAACCCTTCGAGTGGTCGTCAGCTTCGAGGAAACTGGTTGGCCTATTGGGAGCACGAGATAGGTAGACCCGACAAGGACCTCAACTTCAACATGAAGCAGATCAAGCTGCAGAGTTTCTCAGGCCACACGAACAGCGTGAGATGTCTATCTGTATTGGATAATGAGAATAGTTTCATGAGTGGTGCGAGAGACAAAACAGTGAAACTCTGGAGTATCAGGAGCCAAGGGGATGGGGGAACAGTGTCTTCATGCCAGTACACGTACTTTGGCCACAAAAAGTCAATCTTGGCGTTGACATTCCTTGAATCTTTGAGGTATGCAGTGACATGTGATGGAACAGTACATTGTTGGGATCCTTTCATGGGATCTTTGTTAGGCTGTCCTGAAAGCTCTAGACCAGCCCCAGTCAATACTCTAGTTGCTAGCAATGCACCTTCTACCTCACTCCTAGTGGCTACAACTGATATCACCTTGAGAATGATTGATTGTAGATGTTTTCAGTACGTGAACGAGATGAAAGTTGCGATGAATCCCACAGGACTAATCAGATGCATTGCAGTGGCACCGAGTGGAAACTGGATAGCATTGGGACAGGCTTCTGGTGTTCTTACCATCTTGGATATCAGAACTGGCCTCATTATAGCCTCGTGGAAGGGTCACGAATGTGAGATTCTACAGTTGAAAGCTATCAATGAGACGACAATTGTGAGTTCTTCTTTGGATCAAACCATCGCTGTCTGGAGTGCAATTGATGGCAAGCTGAAGTTCCATCTGAAGGGAACAACTGAACCTGTTCACTGCATGGAGGTTTATGAACAGCAGATAATATCAGGAACAACAGCCAATCGAATTGGTGTTCATACGGAAATCAGTGGCAGTGCATTTTTCTCATCTTCTAAGCTGAGATCCGATGCGTTCAAGGGTGTACTTACTGCTATGACTGTTCTACCACTTAATAGATTACTATTACTTGGGGCTGATAATGGAGGAATTACTTTACTTTGTTGATTGGAGATTGGAATTCGAGGGAAAGGAGATGTTGGGTCCATCAAAACTGCCCTCCATTCATTGTGTGAGACAATATGAATAGTATTGAAAGTGCAGTCACTATTGTAATCTCGTGGTAATAATAAATTATTATGAATTGAAGGCGTATGTCATATTCATTTACTACGTTTCTTCACATATTTACATATTTATTATAAAATAGGAGAAGCGAATGACTATATAACACCAATCAGGGAAGCCTGTTGTGAATACTAATTCGAATCGCTCATAACTTTTTATTCCATTTATTCCGGGGTTCGAGGCTCAACCAAAATCCACCCTTAGCTGTCATGGCGAAACTTGTCTTGCTGAGTTCTAATGGCAAAATCATGTTCTTTCCTGGTCTCAGCGTGCATTTGGCGAGCAAGTGAAACAGTAAAACTTTAATTTCCAGGAGAGCAAATCGGTTTCCAATGCACATTCTCGGACCAGCGCCAAAGGGCATGTATGCGGGTGAATGAAGTGTTCCTTTGGGATCTTCCAGGAAACGCTCAGGATAGAATTCATTTGGATTTGGGAAAAACTCGGGATCCCTGTGAAGTGCATAAATTGGCAGGAAGACGCCATCCCCAGGTTTTATAATAACAGATTTTCTTCCTGGTAATGCAGGTGGTAGTTCAAAAGTTTTTGTGCAGACCCGATCGACAGCGGGTTGAATGGGAAATAATCTCAGAGCCTCATTAATAGTAGCATCCAGGTATTCCATATTATTAATAGCCTCGTAGGTGAGGGACTCCCCGCACTTCTCGTATACGTCATCAACTTCGTCCTGTAATTTTTTCTGAATATTTGGATTTGTAGAAATGGAGTGAGCAACGAAACACATGACGGAGGATGTTGAATCGAATCCACCGAAAAAGAAAACGAATGCCTGACACACCATATCCTGAATCGTCAGTATTGGTCCATCCCCAGGTTTATTATTTCGTGATTCCATCATCAGCTGAATCATATCTGGTCTAGTAATGCCTTCCCTGTCTCTTGTTTCAATTGTATTCTTCACGAGTTCAGTGAAAAATATCTCAACTCTCCTATCAGTGAATCTGATGCCAAATAATTTCGAAAGAGTCGGGCTAGCTCTCATCATAAAAAATTTGAAAAGCATGACGATACCGTCGAAACTAGTGGCTTTTTTACCAAGCACATAAAATTCATTATTGGGGTTTCTCATGGTGTCCACTGCTACACCAAAAGCACACGTTGCAATTACGTCGGTGGTATATTTAGTGAATGCATCCTTTGAATTGATGGTAGATTCATTATCAGCATTTGCTTTCAGGTAATCGGCAAAATTTTCAGCACAATCGGACATCAATTTGAACATGGCCTTCATTTTACTGGACGTGAAGGCAGGACTCAGGAGATTTCTCACCTCTCTCCATTGATTCCCACGCAGACCAAATAAATTTTTAGTGAACAGAGGTTCTTGTTCCGAATCGATAATCGTTCGATGATCCACGAAGTGATCGAAGCTTTTGATGGTTATATTTTTTATGAGTTCTGGATCCCGAATCACGACAACAGGATCACTGAAATCGTAAAGGCCCACGTATTTTGCGTCTCTGTCCAGATTGTAAGCATCTTCGATAAATTCAGCGAACGTCTTCGATCTGATTAAAAACGGTAGACTATTGCCCACAAAGGGCAATGGCTTTTTATGTATTACGTCGAGTTTATCAAAATAACTGTAACGGTTCAACCAATAGTAGATGGAGATAATGAGTAGTAGAAAACTGCATGCAATAGTCCACTCGTACATGTTGTCGGGAATGCACTAGCACTTTATCCGAGAGGTCTTACTGCTCTGAGTATTTGCAAGCAACTGCGGTTTTAACACTTTTTATTCTATTCTTTATCTCCAATTACGTCAATTCCGTCATGTCCTCAGTTGATATGTCCTTGATTATATCACGCTTTAAACAACCGCACCTATTTTTCATCATTTGTGCACATCCAAGTGTATTTAATCTACTTCCCCCATCCACGAGATTCAATGAATCATCAATTTTTCAATGTAATCTAATCATTTTTTCAGGTAAAATTATCTTCATGATAATTGATAAACGGTAAAAAATGCAGTATGACAGGTTTATTAATTTGTTTATACTCTCCTGTGCGAATGCGAATTGAGAAAAAAATTATTTGTGCGTAGAAAATAATGGGCGCCAAGAGAGGGAAACATGCGGGTTTTGGAATACCCGAAGGAATGGATTCATATAGTACCTGAAAAAATAGATCCATTTTAATTTTCCATTTTTATTTTGTATGGCTTGCTATTTTTCCTGGTCTATTCCTTCTGTCTATCCGGGATTTAATATCAATTTTTATTTTTCTCAGTAATTACCGGGTAAAATGTCATTCTGAGGATTGGTGAAAAAAAACGGAAAACCGTGGAATAAAATAAGCCACTTTCCTTCCGGATAGTTAGACGAGGAAAGTTGGACTTTCCCGGCAGATGTGATGAAAATATGTAGAAGGCTATCTCAGGAATTTGAGATTCTTGACGATTCGGACGTGTCTTAACACGTTTTACTGTTCCGCTGTGTCATGGGACGATTGCATCTGGTGTTTGTTCAGTACAATTCATTCGAGAGAATATGCCCGAAAATCGCTTTAAGGACGTTTCACCCCGACACGTAACAAAAATGTAGGTTTTAATTTTTTTTTAGCAAATTATGGATGAAATTGATGTGAATAAAATTTTTTATGTTTTGTCATTATTTAATGGGTCATGAAGGACAGAAATATGTGGGAGTAGTCATTTCCATTCGGTATTTGAATTTGCTGCGTGTTACCCTCTGTGGCGCAGGCGCAGTAGAAGTCACTTCTGAAAAATTTTTTTCTCAATCAAAAAGGATTGACTAAAGTAGAGGCTCAGTTCGGGGGGTTGTGGGGGTTTGAGTGACCCTAGCGGCATGGGAGTACTGCACCCCAAGAGAGGGAGGGAGCCATACGCAATGGGGGTGTCTGCCCGTCAGCCGACTCGGTAACTATACTGAATATTATAGTGAATATTGTCAGAGGAGTAACCCCCACTCTCCGAAATCCCCACTTGTGGCCGTGTTCCCCACCAGTCGAACCGAACAAAACCGAAGTTACTTCTTCGGTAATATTCAGTATACCAAAGAAGTAACTTCGGTTTTGTTCGGCTCGACTGGTGGGGAACACGGCCACAAGTGGGGATTTCGGAGAGTGGGGGTTACGGCCGAGGTTACTCCTCTGACAATATTCACTATAGCAGTCCCGCTGTCAGAGTCACCAGTCGAAGGGGTGAATGTTATTTTTTGCGTTACGAAATTGGTATTCACTGAAATTTTAAAATTTTATGGAGTCACTTTAATTTTTTGCCCCCAAGTCCAGCGAGACTGCTACTGAGGCAGTTACCGAGTCGGCTGACGAGCAGACACCCCCATCGCGTGTGGCGCCCTCCCTCTCTTGGGGTGCAGTACTCCCATGCCGCTGGGTTCACTCAAACCCCCACAACTCAGCCTCTACTTTAGTCAATCCTCTTTGGGCTCAATCCAGGGTTGCCAGATGTGGCGCTTTAGCGCCAAATTGGCGCCCTCGCCGAGTATTTTGGCGGTGGAATTTCCCGCTTGGCGCTATGGCGCTATTTTGGCGCTTTGGGATTTTGATGGGGTATTCTGGTAATACTAAGGAAAAATTAAGGAAAAATTTTCCATGTCAAATTTCATTCATTGATTCTCGACATGTACGTATTTTTATATCTCCCGCTTTATTTTAAAACGTGTTCACCAATCAGGTGTTCTCACGTTGTCGCCGGCAGACCGATGAGTGCACGGCTTGTCTTTTTTTTTCCGTTCCTCCTACTTTACAATTGGATGCTGCTCCGTTCCCCAAAGTCATTTCTCCAATGGGAACGTAAACAATAACCATGAGACTTCTGATGTCGTAGAGTGCACACTAGAGTGTTTATAGTGGTCATCGTGAGAATCCTGAAGACTTCAAGTGTTGTTTCCTGAAACCGATTTCTCATTTTATTGTGATTACCACTTTTCTATTTTTTCTTACGAGAAGACTATTTTGGATGATCGAGAAATGTCGAAACGGAAATATAACAAGGCTTGGGAAAACGAAAAGTGGGCTGAAGGTTGTAACACCCTTTCGTCTTGAATAACTTTCTCGAGCATGAACAGCTCATTTTTTCAATTATTATATATTCTTTTCGGACAGGCTGGCTGGAGAAAAATGGAGATGGGGTTGCTGAAGACGGATCACATCAAGATGCCCACTGTAAAGTCTGTCGAATAACAGTGCGCAGTCATTCATCAGACTTGCAGAGACATGGCAGATCCAAGAGTCACACTGACAAAATGTCATTTATACGTCTACCAGCCAAGAGCAAAATGTCGAATTATGGTACAGAAAGTTTTCTTGGTTTTTTTTGCGTTTCGATCCGTTTTATTGACTGTTTTTGTTTCCGAATGGAGGCATTGTAAATGGTTGATTTTTCGATTTTCTCATTTTTTTCCCTCTGCAGTTAATCAGCCAGTCAGCGAGGCATTAAAAATTGCTGCCATCAAGGTTTCTGCACATGTCGCTGTACATTCAGCCATCAGAACAGTGGATCATCTGGTTGATGTTGTCAAGCCCCTTGGCAAGGGTAGTATCATTGAAGACCTGAAATTACATCGTACAAAATGTTCAAGCATCATCAAGAATGTAATCGCTCCAGCATTGTTGACAGAATTGGTTGCAGCAATTGGAAATGGCGCATACTCCTTGATCGTTGACGAGTCCACTGATATTTCTACAACCAAATACATGTGTCTCTGTATCAAATATTTTAATACAACACATGAGAAACTGGTGACAGATTTCCTGGGGTTATTTCTCGTGGAAGAAGCTACAGCTCAGTGCCTCTACCAGAGTGTTTGTGAATACTTGGAGACCATCAAGCTTCCGAAGAAGAACATGGTAGCTATAGGAACAGACGGAGCGAGTAATTTATGTGGACGTGAAAAATCTCTCTACGCATTACTGAAGAAAGACATTCCTAATCTGCAATTATTGAAATGTTCCTGCCATTCAATTCACCTATGTTGTTGCAAAGCATCGGAAGAGCTACCTTCTTCATTGGAATATTTAGTCAGGGAAGTTTATAACTGGTTCAAACTGAGTCCACTTCGTCGTGCCAAGTACAAAAGATTGTTTGATACCATTAATACAGGTGTGGAAAGCAATCGCTACCGTCAATTGATTCAGCTCTCTCAAACCCGCTGGTTAGCATTCCACGACGCATGTAAGAGAATTTTGGAACAGTGGTTAGAGTTGCAGACTCATTTCAGAGTCGTCAGCCAATCAGAGAAATGCTATGGTACTCGAACGATTCACACCATGCTCCTCGATGATTCTCACCGACTCTATTTGGTATTTTTAAAACACATCCTTGGCCAAATGCAGAGTCTGAACTTGACCTTCCAAAGTGATAAGATTGATGCTGGAAGTGCATATGACGAATTGTATACAACGTTCTTATCCTTTGCTAGCAAGATACTCAAGCCGAGTTTCCTCGTTATCCATCGAAATGGAGAGAATCTTCTGAATCAAGTTTGCGATGCCCTGGATAATGAGTTGGCTTTTTTGCCACTGGAATCGGTGGATTTTGGAATAGATCTGACAACAGAACTAATAAAGACGAAATTGAGTTCTGACAAGGTACTAGAAATGAAACAACGTTGTTTTGGTTTCTTAAAACGATTACTAGTGGAGATGTCCAAACGATTGCCAGTGAACATGGAAATCTTTAAGAAGTATAAGCTACTCAGTCCACTAAAGTGCCTTGGTCCTGAACAAGAGAAATTCCTCGTCATCGCTGAAGTTTTAAGACCTTTCCTTGATCCAGCGATAGATATAGCTGTCTACGAGTCACAGTGGCAAAAGTTGCTTTTCATTGACTGGAAAATTCATTGTTCCAACCGTCTCCCAGTTAGTATCATTGATTTCTGGCCTATGGTGTTTGCTTTCGTAGATGGTGCTGGGAGATTCTCTTTTAGAGAGTTAGCCGAAGCTGTTCTGCGTATGCTATGTACCCCAACGAGTAATGCATGCGTCGAACGAGTCTTCTCGGCCATGAATCTCATCAAGTCTAAAGTACGCAATAAGATGGGAATGAGCATGTTGGAGGCTCTTCTGAGGATCAAAGTCCATTTCAATGTCACGGGTCAATGTTGCACGTCATTTGTACCCAGTGAACAGATGTTAAGGATGTTTAAATCCAGTAACATGTATGAAAGCAAGGACGATGATGATGTCGAAGCAGCCATCGAAGAAAATAATGACATTTTCGAGATTATGGACGATGTCTAATGAAGCCCGCTGAGACTACCTATTCCCTATTTCCTAGTCAATTTCTTATAATTGATAATATGTTATACTCTTATATTCCATATTCTATAAGAATTTCATTTAATTTTGTTGAGAATTCTAGATTACTCATGTTATTCTATAGCTTTTAATAAAGAAACGCAATGTTCTATAAAATTTTAAATAATGTGCCACTGGCGCGTTAGTGGCGCTTTTCGAAATTCGTTTGGCGCTCTCAGGCGCCCCCACCTCATTCGCCTGGCGACTTCCTCTCCTCAGTATCTGGCAACCCTG